CTCCAGTTCTGTACATAGACAACAAGGCTGCCATTGCCTTGTGTGAGGAGCACAGACTGGAGCACAGAACGAAGCACATCGCTCTGCGTTACTTCCTTGCTCGAGAGTTGCAGCAGCGTGGCCAGCTTCGTGTCGCTCACGTGCCCACCCGGGCCAACACGGCTGATGTGTTCACCAAGGCCCTTCCGGCTGGTGATCATCAGCGCTTCTGCACTGCTCTAGGCCTGGTGCCTACGTTTCCTCACTTGCTGTAGACTTTGCTTGTACTGTGATCTATATATATACCTGCATGCTTGTTCTTGCTAGGTAGTGATCACTGTACTGTTGTTGTTGCATATATACCTCTGCATGTGAACTGGCCTTGTGGCCCTTTGCTCGTGCTCGGAGTGTGTGGTGACGTTGTGATCCACCGTGAGCTTGCTTTGCTTTTCTTGACTGGTCGTGTGACCCCTTGTTCTCCCCCACTTTGCCTATGGGGGTGTGTCAAACTAAATCAGTGCTAGTTATGTGTAGAAATAGTGGGGTAGCCCATATGGGGTACAACCTAATTAGGGTTAGTACTTGTACCCACAATTCATTCAATGCAATCATTTCCTGCTTGCTATCTCGACATTGTGGACCTTTGACAAAAACCGCCGTGGACAGGTTTGTACCGCCATGTTTACTGTACATTCGACAACACACACTAAGTCTGGTAACATGGTGTATTACGACGAAACTATTAGAATACTAAGGCTAGGATGATTGGATTAGGTCAAGGGGGGGTACAAGAAGAATGTCGAAATTGTGTACCCCCTAGTGCTAACCCCCATATAGCCTAGATAACCTAACCTGACAACCCACTAGAGGCTATAACATTTGACACACCCCCATAGCCTAAGTGGGGAATGCCAAGCAACAAAAAACACAACCTAAGGTCACAAGACCAGTCACAAGCAAGAGAGAAAACACAGCTCAGGGTGGATCACAATGTCACCACACAGTCTGAGCACAAACAAGGGGCCACAAGGCCAGTTCAAGAGTGTACAAGCTAATATATATGTGATACAAGCAAACAAGAGGCAAGAAATCACTACTGCATTTTACTAGACCCAGTCTCAACGAGGCCTAACTGCAGACAAAACCGGCGGTGGTCACAAGGCTGAAGAGCCTTGGTGAAGATGTCTGCAGTGTTGGCCTCGGAAGCTACGAAGTCCAGGCGTGCCTGACCGCGTCTCTGCAACTCTCGAAGGAGGAAGTACCTGACGTCGATGTGCTTCACTCTGCTCTCTAGTCGAGGCTCTCAACACAGGAGGATCATCGCCTTGTTGTCAGCAAACAAGGTCGGTGCAGAGCTCGGCCGCTCACCAAGGTCAGTGAGCAAGAAGGTCAACTAGCGTAGCTCCTGTGCAGCAAGGGCTCCAGCGTAGATCTCTACCTCTGTGGTAGAAGTCGCAATAGAGGAGGACCGATTAGACCTCCACGAGACAGCTCCAGAGCCCAGGATGAAACAATAACCCTGCGTAGACCTCTGAGTCTCAACGTCGTCGGCGTACGAGGAGTCGCAGTGACCGGTGAGTACTACTGGATGTGTCCCTCCAAGTACAAGCCCCATGTCTGATGTCGCGCCGAGGTACTTCGCCACCGCCGTCCACTGAACAGGACGGTGTCTCCCAGTCGCAACAAAGCGAGAAAGGATGCTAAGAGGGAAGGCGAGGTCCGGGCGAGTGCACGTCATCAGGTACATGAGGCAGCCCACCAGCTCTGCGTAGGGACCACTGGGCTCGAACGGCTCGTCAGGAAAAGGCCCTATGAGTCTGTGGTCTACAGCAAGAGGGGTGGGTGTAGGAGAAGAGTGCTGAAGCCCGAACCGCTGAAGGACCTGCTGCACCATATGTGACTGAGTCAGAGTGATGGTGCGAGCGGCTCTGTCCCTGGACACCTGCAGGCCAAGATAGCGGCGCAGTTCCCCAAGGTCAGTGCAGGTGTGTCTCTTCTGCAGTTCGGACTTCACCTCCGCCAGTGCAACTGTGTCGGCTGTGGCAAAAACCAAGTCGTCAACGTAGACCAGAACGAAGAAAGGTGTGCGCCCACGACGAACAAACAGCGACGGGTCGGCGGAAGACGGCTCAAACCCGAGGTCGGACAGAGTAGAGCGGAGAGTGTCGTGCCACTCACGGGGTGCCTGGCGGAGACCGTAGACCGGTCGTCTGAGGCTCCACTGGGTCCCAGGCGGGAAGGTGCCAGTGAAGCCCGGAGGACGACGCAGCCAGATCTCCTCGTGTAGGCTGCCCTGGAGGAAGGCAGTGGAGAAGTCAAGAGAGTGTAGCTCGTAGTCTCTCTGCGCTGCTACGTGCAGTAACACCCGAAGAGTGGTCATTTTCGGGGTGGGCGCGAAGGTCTAAAACAAATCAACTCCCTCACGCTGACTAAACCCCCTAGCCACGTAGCGTGCCTTGAAGACTGGGGGAGATCACGGCGGTCGCTTCACCTTGAAGATCCACATGCCGTCAACTATGTTCGCCCCTGGGGGGGGAACCTCGTCAACGTAAGTGGTTGTGGACCTGTAGGAGGTCATTTCTGCGTCCATGGCACCTCTCCACTAAGAGGCCCAAGGCCCTGACACTGCCTCAGCGTAAGTGCGAGGAGTAGGTATGTCAGGAGCGTCGGGGTCTCCCTCAGGAGCGAGGAGCATGGCACAGAGATGAGGCGAAGCAGCTGCCAGGAACTCTAGCTCAAACTGTCTGTCCTCTAGGACGTCACAGCTTAAGGCAGACTCACCCCCGGCGGACAGAGGACGGACAGGAGGAGCGGCCACAACACGAGCAGTAAAGTCAGTAACAGCGGCAGTGAGGACCGCGGCGGAAGAAGGAGAGGCACGAGGGTCTGTAACAAGAGAGGCGAGAACACGAGAGAGAGTGGGGCGGTACGTGCGGTAGTAGTCAGTGACCGGAGTGGACAGGGAGGCAGTGAGGGACGACTCAGGAGGACGAGGAAGAACAGACGGAGGAGGACGAGGAGGACTAGGACGAAACAACACGGTACGGAGGTCAGTGACAGGTGACGAAGGACGAGCACGAGGAGGACGATTGGTCCAAGTGTGGGCGAGAGGAGAGGGAGATTGAGGAGACTGAGAACGAGGGAACACAGCCGGAGCTGAGTCCGGAGGAGGAAACGTAGGACTGAACACGGGAGGAGAGGAGGGGAGACTAAGGGCCCGAAGGCTAGAAACAGGGGCCGGAGGCTGCTCCGGCTGCTGCTGCTGCTGCTGCTGCAGCTGCTGCTGCCGCTGCAACTCCAACCTCTCACGCTCCACCCGCTGCTGAACCTCCGACCTCTCACGCTCCAAACGCTGCTGCTCCTCACGCTCTAGACGAAGAAGGGCCTGGTAACGAGTCGGGTAGGGGTGAGGAGGAGGAGTGGTGTCAGGAGACGCAGCAGAAGAACCAGCTCCGTCCTCGACAGTACCCGGCTGAGCACCCCCAGAGCGAGTACCTCCCGCGGCAGCACGACCAGCACCTGTAGGAGGTGTACCCGCACCCCCCCCCTCCCCCCCCCCCCCCCCCCCCCCTTTTTATCACGCGCTGCCCAGCCCGCTCTGCCCCGCGTGCGCTACCCGTCGCGTCGCCCGGCAGCCCCGCAGCTCTGCGCGCGCTGCTCGTCGCGTCGCCCCGCAGCCCCGCAGCCCCCCGCGCGCTGCTCGTCGCATCGCCCCGCAGCCCCGCGCGTAGCCCGCCCTGCTACCGCGCCTGCTTGCTGCACCCGCGCGCCGCACGCCGAGCCGCCTCGCAGCCCCGCATGAACACCTCCTCCCCGCCCCTTTCCTACTGTCGCACCCTCCTCCCTGCCCCTTTCCTACCGTCGCACCCTCCTCCCCGCCCCTTTCCTACCGTCGCACCCTCCTCCCTGCCCTTTCCTACCGTCGTGCCCTCCTCCCTGCCCTTTCCTACCGTCGTGCCCTCCTCCCCGCCCCCTTCTCACCGCCCCGCCCGCCAGCCAGCGCGCCGCGCCGCCTATCAGCCAACACGCCGCGCTGCCCGCCAACCAGCGCGTTGCGCCGCCCGCCTGTCCTCATGCCGCTCCGCCTACCCACCTGCACGCCTGCGCACATGCCTACACACTACTGACTGTCTCCCCCCTCCCGCGGCAGTGAGGGACGACGGCAGTCACTTCGTACTACCACCCCACCCCCCCCCCCCCCCCCCCCCCCCCCCAAATTGAACAAAGGTGACGTGGGTACATTCTTGGAGTGTCTCACAAAAGCCTAGCTTCTCACACTATGAGATACAGTGCAGTGGGAACGTTTGATACTTGGTGTAATGCGGTGTGGTGTGGAGCAGTACATTGTTTTTGTGATGCCTGGAATGAGGACATGTCTTCCTATTGTACTAGTTTGCCATCCTTTATGCAATCCTGGTTTACTCGCTACAGTACATTGCACCCAAAAGCAGGTGTGATAAATGAAGCCAGCAGATCTGAAGGGAGGAGGGATTCAAAGGCCAGATGAATTTTGAACTGTCTCGAGTTTACCGCCACAGCTGTTCTTGGGTTGGGGAGTTTCCAGGCTCAGCTGTTGTCCAATAAGTTTCTAGCGTGGCCAGTAATTGTGCGACGAAAGCGTCTCTCTTTGCAACCGTGCATCGGCTGTGTCGCCACGCCATGGCGACGTCGCGAATCACGCGCGACCTGGTGGGTGCTCCGGGGATGGTTTCCGCGTGTCCGTGTGTGAGCGCCTCGCGCGATAATTTTCACCGGAATAACCCACTTCAACGCTCCTTTCTTAACCCGCCCCTCTGCTCCTCCCCGCCCTCCCCCCCACCCCACCACCCCCTCCGGCCAGCTTCTCTCGACGCTCCGCCGTCTTTCCTCGTTCGCCCTTCCCCGCGCGGCTCTGCTGCCAATCCGCCGCTCTCCGCTTAGTCGCCATGCTCTCTGCCGCACTCTGCTCTACCCTCTCTCCCTCGCCGCCCCGCACCCGCTCATTTCCCCCGTCCTCTCCCCCCAATCCTCCCCGCGCGCAGATGGCGGTGACGGCGGACAGGGCGCGCGAGGAGGGTGAGGTCGCGGGCAAGAGCGGCGACGGGGGAGGGGGAGCGGCAGGAGGACGGACGTGCCTGGTGCAGGGGTACCTGCTGAAGCGGTCAGAAACGGTGCGATGCGGTGCTGGGGGTTGGGGGGGGGGGGGGAGGATTGGGGGGATGGGAAGGGAGAGATGGCGATGCAAGGACGGAAGGGGTGTGATGGGCGGGTAGTGGGAGGGAGGGCAGGGACGGCGGGTGCATGCATGGCATGGCATGGCATGGCATGGCGCTGCTCATCTCTGCGCATATGCTGCCTATGGGGCCCGCCCCTTGCCCACACCCCCTTTTCCATTTCCGCTCTCCCGCCACGCCCCCCTTTCCCCCCCTCTCCGCCATCGCATTCCATAGCTGTCGCTGCGAGTGCTTGACCTGTGTGCGCCATGCTGCCCTGCCGTGCAACCGTGCTCGCCGTGTCCTCTGTGCCCCCCCCGCAGCTGCACCTGTGGAACCAGCGCTGGTTCGTGCTGGACCCCACCACCGCGCGCATGGAGTACCGGTGAGCAACGCACCCGCGCAAGGGGGCTTGCTGGACTGCACACGCACGGGTGGAACGGGTGGGAGACAGTGGGATGGTTGGGCGGGGTTGTACGCGTGAGTGCGGAAGCACCACACGGGTTGTTTGCATTCTCGAGACTCCTGTGCTCTCAGCGTTGCCTCCCTCCCGCACACCCCTCGCAGCCTCCCAAGCTGCTCAAATCCCACTCGCAAACTATATTTCTCGCAGCCTCCCATCCCCTTAGCTACTCTTCCACCCCACTCCCCCCGCACCCTTCTCCTCCCCCCACCCCCCTTCCCCCCTATCCTTCACCATGCGGCGCCCGTCCCTGCGCGAGGGGTGGCAGCATGCAGCGCAGCGACGTGTACCCGCGTGGGCACATCGTGTTCGACGCCGACAGCACCATCACCGTTTCGCCCCTCAACTTCCAGTGCGTACCCATGCCCCCATGCCCCTGTGCCCCCATGCCCCTGTGCCCCCATGCGCCCAAGCGCCCATGCCACAAGAAACCATCAACTGCATCCGCTTATTGCCTGTGCCCTCTGGTTGTCCACATGCGTCGCACCTTGCTACATGCTCCGCTGCCTGCCATCGAACCATAGCATTGCACGCAACCCCATGGCATCTACCGCATGCCACTCATGTGCGTGCACTCCCTCCATCCCACATGACCCGTGTGCTGCAGTGGAGCCAAGCAATACGACGGCTGCTGCTTCTGTAAGCGCCCTCCCTCATCCTTGCCCCCCTTCCACCCTCCTTCCGTCCCATTCCTCTCTCCCTCCCTCCCTCCCTCCCTTCTTCTTCCTTCCCCCCTTTTCTCCCATCCTACCTTCCCACGCTTCACGCGTGCCACCATGTGGCTAAGTGTTCTAGCTGTGAGCCCATGAGCCACAGCAGTTAGCCCATGTGCTATGCCATGGCGTGCCTCAAGCAAGCAAGCAACAACATCACGTGACAAGATCTTTCTTCCAATTCCCCTTGCTCGCTCCCACCTTACTCTCTGCCGCCGTGTGCGGGGCAGACGTGGGCACGGCGGGCAAGAAGGAGTACTTCCTGTGCGCCGAGACACCAGAGGCCGCCAGGGCATGGGTGCTCACCATCAGGTGCGAGGGTGCTCACCATCAGGTGCGAGGGTGCTCACCATCAGGTGCGAGGGTGCTCACCATCAGGTGCGAGGGTGCTTTGACTGCGTGAGGCAGTCTGTCACTGCACCTCCTCTGTGCCTGGCATGGGATGCCTATACACGCGCCACTACCCTCATCCGTTGTGTCACCGATTCAGCCACCTCCGTGCTTTCCGTTCCATCCTTCTACAAGCATTCTCTTCCATCCTTCTACAAGCATTCTCTTCCATCCTTCTACAAGCATTCTCTTCCATCCTTCGTGGAAAATGGTTCATGTTCCCTGCGCATACTGTGTATGTGCAGTCCAGTTCATCTGGTTGTTTCCTCTTTCCTCTCAAAGTCTTGCGTGATGCCACTTGTGGTGCCACTGCTTCCTTGTGAGGCTGTCTGCTGCTTCTCTTCATCCCCCCTCCATGCATTAACTTGCCCTTTCCCTCTTCTCATGCATCCCACTGCCCTGTGCCGTGCCTGTACCTGCCCCCATGCATCGCATGTGTGTGGTGGGAGGCAGGGCGGCAGCACAGGTGTTGAGGGCGCACCGGGCGGCCGTCAGTGTGCTGGGTTCCGCCTCCGGCCCCGCTGTCTCCGGTGCGCTGCCCGACCCCACCCTGCTTCTATGTCACTGCACCCATTCGTGCACCATGCCGTAACTCCCAGCACCTTGCTTCGTGCATCCCACCTTTTCTTTCAACACTCTGATTACGAATGTTAAAACTCTCTTCCCCTTTCACCCCTTCCCCCCTTTCTCTCCGGCCTCCCTTTCTTATCCCCCTCGCCTGAACCTTTGCTCCCTCCCTGCAGGTGCAGTGGCAGCAGCAACAGCAGTGGCGGTGGAGGCGGCAGGGCAGGCGCAGAGGAACGTGGCGGTGGCGAATGAGAGGGCGCTGCAGCACGGCGCTGCTGCCTCCGCCTTCTTCTCCCTGGGGGGCGCCTCCCCCGTGCAAGCCGCTGCTCTCACCCCCACCAGCATCGCTGCCGCCGCCGCCGCCACCACCACTGCTGCTGCTGCTGGCGGTGGTGGTGGCGCGAGTGGGAGTGCGCGTGCGGCTGTGGGGAATGGGCGCGGGGGTGCGGGTGGGGTGGCTGTGGCGCCTTGTGGAGACAGCGAGCACCTGCTCAAGGTGAGGTTGCACTCCACGGTGCACAGACGTGGGGTTGGGAAGTTGTGAGTTCATGTGAGAAAGGCACCCGTGCATTCGATGCGTGCGTGAGGCCCTCTGCACTCCTCTCCCCCTCCTCTCCTCTCGTTCACCTCATCCTTTAGTTCTGGCTCTCTTTCCGTCCCCTCCTCGCCTGCCAATTCCCGCCCTCATGACTGGTTCACCACTCTGCCCCCCACCATGCATGTGAGCAGGAGACGCTGCGAGTGAAGGACGAGGAGATCCATGCGATCGCCCTGCTCCATTTCATTCTCGTTCTCTTGCCTTCCCTTCCTCGGCCTTCTCTTACCTCTGTGCCCCCCACCATACGGGTGTGAGTGCAGGAGACGCTGCGAGTGAAGGACGAGGAGATCCATGCGCTCACCGTGGCCGTGCGCGAGCGCGACTCCGCCATCGCTGACCTCACGCGCCGCCTTCAAGACGCCGCCGCCGCCGCTGATGCAGCAGCGGCAGCGGCAGCGCAGGCAGCGAGGGAGCGGGACGAGGTGCGCGCGGCTGCAGGCAAGCTGTGTGACGACCTGGAGGCACGGTTTGAGCGGTCGGAGCAGCAGCAGGCGGGCAGCAAGGCGGGCAGGGTGGCAGCGGAGCAGGAGGCGGAGCGGGCGAGGGCGCAGGTGGCACAGCTGCTGGTGGCGCTGGCGGAGGAGAAGGCGCGTGGCGACCGGGAGGAGGCGGGCAGGCGGGCTGCGGAGGGGGAGATGCTGCGATGGAAGGCCGAGGCGGAGAGGTCAGTACACGCAGGGGAGTGGGTGTGAGGAAGCCTTGGGGGAGAGGGGAGGTTTTTTAGATGTGAAGCGAATGCGTGGTGTATTGCGGAGCGTTGATGAGCATGCATGTGCATGCATGCTGCACGCCATGACAGACCACTCTTAGTCCTTCACCTGGAAATGCCTGTTCTCCTTCTCCTTGTGATCCGCAGGGCCATCTCAGGGGCTCACGATGCTTCTCCCTCACAACACAGTCACCCTCCTCTCAATACGCGTGCACCACGATGTCTCCCCCTCGCAGGTTCGTCACTGCAGGACTCGCATCACTCACACCCTCCTCCTGCCCGCCTTCCACCACCAACGCCAACAACGTCACTGCCACTGCCACTGCCAGTGCAGCAGGCAGAGAGCCTTCATGTATGCCCGTGCCTGCCACTGCCACGCCCCTGTCAGCCCCTCCGGCACATCCAAGTACTCAGCCTCCTGCTCATCCGCCTCTTGTGTCCCCACCTCCCATGCCCTCCCTCTCGCCGTCACCACCGTCTGCGCCACGTGTGTCTCATGGTGCGAGTGCACATGCCATGGTCTCTGAGGAGCCCCACCATGGCCTTCTCACTGCTCCGCACGCTCCGCCCACCGCGGCAGCTGCGTCACTACCGCAACTAGCACAGCCAGCGGCAGCATCAGGAGTTTCTACTGTTGCTTCAGCAACAGATGATGCTAACCCTGCTGCCCTTGCTGCCAATACTGTACGCGAGGCAAGCGCCGCGGATACTGCTGCGGAGGCGGCACCACCACTTGTGCTGCACTAAGTAGTGATTTCAGCAAATAGCACCGTTACCTGATACACTTTATGGTAGCAATGTGTAATCATACCAGTAACAGGACAACATTGTCAGAAGACACCCATTTCGCTGAATCTTTTAATTGTATTACCGTCATACCCCGGATAGAAGCGCAGGCCTCGGATAAGCGCCGGCGCTTATAAAAGAATGACGGCGCTTTTATCCGGTCCTCGATTATAAGCGCACCTTTTGGAGCCTTCCGAATTATAAGCGCACCTCCCCAAATTACACATTATAAACGCCCGACGTAAAAACTCGTTTTTTTTTTCTTTCTTTCTTTCTATGTTATGTCGTTACAATTCCTATCCTAGTGATTTTTTTTTCATTTTCAACTAAAGTCCAAGCTAAACACGACATTCAAATACTTGAATTTTCTACTCTACCTACACATCCTAGGCATTGCCCTCAACAGTGGCGGAGCCATCCTGGTCGGTCTCACCGTCCGACTCTGGCTCGTCTACGTTGTTGCAGCAGAATCCATCTGCTGCAATCTCGTCGTCAAGTTCCACTTCACCATTGACGGCGTCCCGACGGTGCTGCAAGCAGAGGTTGTCCTGGGACCCGTCCAAGGCGTTGCCGATGCCACAGGTGAGAAACGCGCGCTCAATCAACTCTTTCGGCACCGCCTTCCAGGCCTTGGAGATCCACTTGAGCGTCAGCTCTGGTGGTGGCTTGCGGATGTTGCCTCCCACACATGTACAAATAACGGTAGTCAGAACAGGGTCGGAACATTTAAAACCATACGCACACTTGGATTGAATCTCACCTTTTTCGGTCAGGCAGTCAACGCCCGCGCTCTCGAACCACTCCTGGTACAGTTGTCGCACAGCTGCTTTGAAGGAGCGGTTCACCGCGACGTCCAGGGGTTGGATCTTTGATTTGCAGCCTGCTGGAATGATGGCGGGGACGATGTTCAGCTCGCCGAATTTCGCCCTCACATGTTCAGTCAGGTGCCCGCGGTAGGAGTCAAGCACCAGCATCGCCTTCCTGCTGCGCACTCCGAACCTTGGGTTGACGTACGGGCTCACCGTTCCGTCGAGCCACGCGAGGACGCCGTCCGCGTCCATCCAACCGTTGGGATGTGCAGCGACAACGACATCTACACATCCGCACTAGACAACAAAAAATGGCATGAGTTAAAAACAACAACACATGCAAATTAAACCGTAACTGCACGAGTTGCTCGGCTTACCGGAGGGGAAGTTCCCCTTGGGAACAGTCTTGCGTTTAAAGAACACCTAAGGCTTGAGCTTCTCGCCGCTGGCGATGCAGGCGAGCATCACCGTCACGCGTTCTTTTTGATAGCCGCCGCTACGGATGGGCACGGAACGGATCCCCACCTCCTCGACCGTGCGTTCAGCTGGCATCTCGAGCCACAGAGGCGTTTGATCCGCGATTGTCAAGGGCGTACTGTCGGCGGGTGTGTCGCACGGACTTCCTAAAGTTCCGCACCTGCGTCTCGCACTCTGAAAGGGACGGATGGGATGTGAAGATAGTATGAAGGTATGTGATGATTAGGGTTTGGAGGGGGGATACAAAGAAGTGTCGAGCAAGTTTCTGTACCCCCTAAGGCTAAACCCACTACAGCCTACATAACATTAAACATATAATTTGACACACCCCCATAGGCGAAGTGGGGGATAGCCAACACAACAAACGGTCACAAGACCAGTCAAGAGAAGAAACAAAACAAGCTCAGGGTGGATCACAACGTCACCACGCATTCTGAGCACAAGCACAAGGCCACAAGGCCAGTTCACAAGCAGAGTTATATATCAAGGTGAACAAGTTAGGCAGTGATCTTAACCTAGCAAGGGTAAGCATGCAGGTGCAGGTATATATAGATCACAGTACAAGCAAGGTCAAGAAGTGAGCAAGTGAGGCCAAGTAGGCACAAGACCTAGCATAGTACAAAAGCGCTGATGATCACAAGGCTGAAGTGCCTTGGTAAAGATATCAGCAGTGTTGGCCTGAGAGGCCACGTAAGCAAGACGCAGCTGACCACGCTGCTGCAGCTCTCGAGCAAGGAAGTACCGCAGGGCGATGTGCTTCGTTATGTGCTCCAGTCTGTGCTCCCGACACAAGGCCAGCATGGCCTTGTTGTCTACGTACAGAACTGGAGGAGAACGAGGCGGCTCTCCAAGGTCAGTCAGCAGGTAGGTCAGCCAGCGTAACTCCTGTGCAGCCATGGCTCCTGCGTAGATCTCAGCCTCACAGCTGGAGCTGAGAACAGAAGACGAGCGAGTAGACCGCCACGAAACAGAGCCGGAACCAAGGCTGAAGGTGTAACCCTGTGACGACCGCTGTGTAGCCAGGTCGTCGACCCAAGACGCGTCTGCGTGACCCGTAAGGACAACTCGACTCCGCCCTCCAAGCACGAGCCCCATGCTCGACGTACTGCACAAGTAGCGCAACACCCTCTTTGCTGCAGCCATGTGCTCTGGTCGGTGTCTCCCAGGAGCAACATAGCGTGCCAGTATGCTAAGAGGGTAGGCCAGGTCAGGTCGTGTGCAGGTCATCAGGTACATGAGGCAGCCAACCAGCTCTGGGTACGGGCCACTCGGCTCTACGGACTCATCCGAAGGCAGAGCTGAGAGCGAGTGGCGAGTAGACAGAGGAGTGGCCTGAGGCGAGGAGTACGTGAAGTCGAAGCGCTGAAGGACCTGCTGCACCATGTGTGACTGAGTCAGGGTAATGGTGCGCCGTGCTCTGTCCCGAGTGATCTGCAAGCCAAGATAGCTGCGCAGTTCACCCAGGTCTGTGCACGTGTGTCGCTTCTGCAGCTCGGACTTCACGTGGGCGAGTGCCTGAGTGTCAGCAGTAGCAAAGACCAAGTCGTCGACGTACACGAGGATGTAGAACGGTGGCAAAGAGGTGTCGGTGCGTAGAAATAGCGACGGGTCAGCAGTAGAAGGAGCAAACCCAAGAGCCGCAAGCGTAGTCCTCAGTGTGTCGTGCCACTCACGCGGCGCCTGGCGGAGACCGTAGACCGGCCGCCGGAGGCTCCACTGGGTGCCAGGAGGAAACGTCCCAGTGAAGCCAGGTGGGCGGCGCAGCCAGATCTCCTCGTGCAGGCTGCCCTGTAGGAAAGCTGTGCTGAAGTCCAGAGAGTGAAGCTCGTAGTCACGGTGAGCGGCTATGTGTAGCAGCACCCGAAGAGTGGTCATCTTCGGGGTGGGAGAGAAGGTCTGAAAGTAGTCAACTCCCTGCCGCTGACTGAAGCCTCGAGCCACGTAACGCGCCTTGAAGACAGGCGGAGAACCCGGCGGCCGCTTCACCCTGAAAATCCACATGCCACTGACGATGTTCGCCCCAGGTGGGGGAACCTCGTCAACGTAGGTGCCTGTGGACTTCCAGGAAGCCATCTCTGCGTCCATGGCTGCCTGCCACTGAGAGGAGTAGGGACCCTCTATCGCCTCCGCGTAAGAGCGCGGAGTCGGGATGTCTGGTGCATCCGGGTCTCCCTCAGGGGCAAGTAGCGAGGACACAAGATGAGGTAAAGCAGCAGCAAGACACTGGAACTCCTCCTGCCTGTCCTCAAGGACGTCCGTGCTAAGAGCACACTCACCCCTGACGGACGGAGGATAGACAGACTCAGACTCAGCAACAAGACTAGCGGCGTAGTCTAGACGACAGGCAGCAGCAAAGTCAACAAGCTCAGCGACCAAGGCAGACGCAACAGTAGACTCAAACGACGGGTCAGTGACAACAGTGGCTAACAGACGCGTGACAGTAGGGTGCTCAGCACGAAACCGGTCAGACTCAGGGTCCGGAACGGCAGGCAGAGAGGACGCAGGGGGAGACGGCAGAGGAACAGGCTGCGGAGCAGAGGAAGGACGACGGACAACAAGGTGTGCGCTGGGGACAGCCGGCTGACGCAAACTCGGAACATGACGAACGGTACGATCAGAACGAACAGGCGAGACAGGATGCGACGCAGGCTCACGACGCTCAGCAGGACTGCCTGTCTGCTCAGTGTAAGGAGAGGGAGCAGGTAGCGGTGAGCCAGTCTGTAACGGAAGACCAGTAGACGACGGGAGAGTAACAACCTGACGAAGAGCAGAGTCAGGCGGCGGCAGAGACGACGGAGACGGCGGAGCGAAGAACAGTCGTGTCGGCGCAGCTGCATCAGTACCGGCAGCTCCAGCAGCTCCAGCAGCTCCAGCACCTCCAGCAGCTCCAGCACCTCCAGCAGCTCCAGAAGCTCCAACCGCAAAACCGGTACCTCCAGCACCAGCACCTCCAGACTCAGCGTCACCAGTAGCAGCACCCCCAGAACCGGCACCTCCAGTCCCAGGGTCTCCAACCGCAGGGTCTCCCGCAGCAGTACCCCCAGAACCAGCACCTCCAGTCCCAAGGTCTCCAACCGCAGTGCTCCCTCAGCAGCATCCCCAGAACCAGCACCTCCAGTCCCAGGGCCTCCAACCGCAGTGTCTCCCGCAGCAGCACCCCCAGAACCAGTACCTCCAGTCCCAGGGTCGCCAGTCTCAGTGTCTCCAGGAACGGTGCCTCCAGGCGCAGCACCCCCAGCCCCAGCAGCTCCAGCACCCCTAGTAGCACAGCCCCGGGCTCCAGCAGCGCGACGCTGACGGCGACCGTACCAGTCGTGCAGCTGCTGAGGGGTGAGAGGCACACGCGGACGAAGGCGGCCACTCCAAGTAGGCCGCGCACCAGCAGTCCCAGTGCCCTCAAGCGTCTCACCTCCGGACTCGGTACCTCCAGACTCCGCACACACAGGCTCAGTACCCCTAGTCACAGCACCCCCAGGCGCAGTAACCCCAGTCTCCTTACACGCAGGCTCAGCACCCCCAGACTCCGCACCCCCAGACGCAGCACCTCCAGGAGCACCACCCCCAACAGCACCAGAGTCAACAGGAACCGGCTGCAGAGGCGGCAAAGCAGGTCGCGGAGGGAACCCCGGAAGGGTCTCCAAGCGTGGTGCGCGGCGGTAGGCCGCCGGGGCGTCA